TTAAACATCAAGAAACACCAAAAGATGGAGGGCAACGTTAACAGTACTGAAAGGGCTATGCAACTAGCCCAAGTTACCAGTCAAATAATGAATCCCTGCAGAAACTGAGATCATTGTGCGCTGAGAGTATCTGTGTTGTGTTGACCAATATTTGAAGTTCTGCTTTTTGGAAATGTGTTTCAAGCACAGCATCCTGTGCACAGTCTTATTCCTCGAAGGTGTTCAGAGTCCCATGGATATGTGTTTGAGGAAGCAATGATCTGAAGGCCACAATTCTTGTGGCCTTGCATAAAACCATCATCCTCCTGTGGACACAGAGAAATTTTCCCTGCTCAAACCGGGGTTACTGTGACCATAGGCGTGAAACGGGTGTTTCCATCCAGCTGTGGGAGTTTTTAATTCACCGATACCCAACTGCAATGTCTGCTAATTCTGGTGAAATGATGATCTGATTAGAAGAAGCTATTTTACTAACAAAAACCATGAAACACACGGCTTGTGAATACCAGCCGGTGGCAGCAGTGGTCCTCGGCACCCCTCCAGCCCCTGCACGGCCATCAACGGAGGTGCCACAGCCCCCGGCGCCTGGGCGAGGTGAAGGAAGGAAGCAATTAGAGCGACTGTTTTTCCGGCATAGAGACTGGGTTTGTCGAGAGTGAGGAAGAGCTTCAGAGACATGGCCAAACGCAGCAGCTGACCATGCTTAGCCCAGGCAGCATGCCATGGTGTGCTCCCCTGGCACATCCCACAGCAATGGGAGGCTGGGGCAGGGCTTGGCTGAAGGATGCTCACATCCTGAGGGATCCAGACTACAACTGTAAAAAACTTGAGGATGCACATTCTCTAAGGAGACCCAACTCTCAGGCAGCTCAAGGTGGGCACTTCACACACCTCCAGCTCTAGATACATCGTCAGCAGCAAAGTATTTTAGTTCTTTTGATTTGGTCCCTGGCTACCGTCTAGTTAAATGAGCACCTGGGGATGAAGAAAGGAGTTCCCTGGTGACATCCTGTGAGTGATTTCATCTCAGCAGAATGCTTCCCAGGGCCAGGAATGCAGGGGGACCTTAGGCAAGGCAGGGAAGCTATCTGTGCCAGGAAAGGCCCCCGTGCCAGTAGATGACATAGAAATGGAGAGAGGCGTTATTATTGTGCGACTGCAGGAAAAATGTGTGGGTGGAGAGGAAGCTCTTTTCATGGTTTTCGTAGACAAAAGAAATTTTTTTTTCAGTTTGGTCTGTAAAAATGGGCTTTTTCAACCATTGAAAAAGTAAATGGATTGTCCTCAAGGTACTTTTAAATGTCATCTGATCTTTGCAGGATGGCTTGTGGAATAGCATGTAGTGTGGTTACACGCTGGTAATGGTACCAGCGCACTGTGGCACACAATTTTCTCTGTTTCCTCACCACAATCTTTCATCCAGCTTGACAGAAGCCATGTCCTCACAAGACCAAATGGAAGCCAATCCACATTTCATGAAGAAAAGCAACAGCTAAGCACCTGCTCAGAGGACAGCTGCATTTTGGAGATGATATAATTTTCATCATGAGCAGTGAAGATTAATTTCAGGATGTCTGCATTATTTTTCTATTAGCTTATGATTGCTTTGGAATAAACAGCAATCTAAGAAGGGCAGCAATCAAGACTGAGAACGTGTTGTCTGCCCCTGCAGGTTCAAGAGTAAATTCTCCTCTCTGGATCTGTGTTGTTGGATGACTTATCTCTGTTTTGGAAAGGCAGCTACAATATTCTGTTAATTGATTCAACATCTATGGTAAAACAAGGAGCTAACACTGAAAACCAAAATATGAATTGACTCAGCACACATTTGAGTGTCCTGCTGTGGAATTGTGAGACTGAGGCAGTCTACAGAAGGCATGGCAGAGTGGTGAATGTCCATACCATTGATATCACAAGCTGGGAAGATGCTGCTAGCAATAACCCATGCTGGAAGAGTCTGTTAGATGAAATCTAGAGGCTGAAGAAAGATATTGAGAGGAAATAAAGTAAAAAAGAGGTGAAGAAGAATAGACATCCTCTGGTCTCATGGACTCTTGTCTCATTACGGAGTACTGTCATTTTGGAGCTCTGTGGATGTTTGTGGTGTGACAGGATGTATTATACAGCTAAACTAGTGGAGTAATTCACAGTACCACAGTGCTTCTGGAGATGGATGCATGCCACACATACCTACATCTGAATAGAAACGACTTTAAAGAGGACTGGGGTAGACCTACAGAGGCACAAATCTGCCAGGAATGCAGACAGCCTGCATCCCCAGAGTGCTCACAACAGAGAAATTATGTTTTCGAATTCTTACTAACCTGAGTGGGAGAAAGTTGAAATCATTCGCATGACAGGGAAATCCTTTACTTCCACCTACATAGTAACTTGGTGCCAAGTTTCATACCATGTTATTCTTTTTTATGGGAAGTGGTGCAAAATTGGAAGAAGAGACTATAAGATCTGTACTATGTTTGATGGAGCTGCTGTTTGGAAAATCCCAGTAAAACTTTGTTTCCCTGGGAGTGCAGAAAAACCAGCAGCGTACACCCAGCTCGTGCAGTGGCATCGCAGCGTGCTGTATTGTACACAGGAATGTTGCACACGCGTGTACCTGAATCACACATGAGCACAATTGAGAAGCACTGAACTGAAGACAAGCTGACAGATTGACAATCAGTGAAACAGTCGCAGAGTGACTACATCAGCCTTGATTTTATCAAAAGCAAAGCTGCAAGGTGACAGCTCTAAACGGTTGATGTAGTATGTCCTTGTCAGCCTGAGGGTAGGATGCTGCTCAGGGTCTGCAAAGGCTGTGGTGGAAACCTCTCTGCATCTGGGACATGAGGACATAGCAGCAGCCTTTTTATTTTTCTTCTTCTTTTTTTTTTTTTTTGTTAAAGAGATCATAATAGGTTTTTAAGTAAACAGAATAACAGAACTTCTTTCCTTGGCTTTATGCACGCAGAGTTGCTATTGTCTTTGTGTAACTAGACCCTAGGACATCATGTTATGGTTGTCACAGTTGCTATTTAAATACATTTCTTTTGTTAAATATGTTACTGGAATTAATTAAAATAGCAAATCCTCCTTGGAAGCAGTAACACTAGAGAGGGCTGATGACTGGAGCTGCTCCAGGAGCTGGCAGCGCCCTGTGCAATCTCTGGAGATAAATGGCTGCAAGTGTCGCCCCGTGCTTATGCAGATCCTACTGAACCATGAGTTTCTGCCTTCCAGGGCATATGCTGAGGTGCCCAATCTCATTCCTAACATGTGAGTGTGGCGATCCACCTTTGCTAACTACCCAGCTGAGAAGAAGGGTTAATTAACTGGGTGGAGAGTGGTATTAATATGCTATACTGTTTCTGAAATGTCAACCAGTGTCCTTGCACAGGGTAGCTCCGAGGACATACCCTTCCATCAGTTGTTTGCAAATTTTACAACTTCAGTTAGGCTGCTTCTCCTTTGGAAACAGTTGAAATAGAAGGTGGATGGATTGCTGTGCGTGAATTTCATGAAGAAGTACTAAAAAGGGATGAAAACAAAAAATTATTTTGAAGATCTCAGCAAAAACATTTTAACACAACACGATGTGTTAGGAGAGAGAAGAGAGTATTTTAAACACATGTTTGTGTGACAAAGGAGGCCTAATTGTCTTCCTGTCTGAAAATAAGGTTTGTTTTGCTCTGTTCTCTTAAAAAAAAAAAAAATTGGCGACATTACACATATTGTTTTAAGTGAGGTTCTTCCAGCTTCTCTTTATCTGCCTTAGCATCTATTTTGTCTGCTTGTTTACAGTTATTCTAGGAAGTCTCTGAAGTGCTATAGAAATAGAAGGATGCTCCTAAATTAGAGGAAATCAGTTGATAAAAATAGCAGTTGTCAAAAAGAATGATTTGGAGGGCTCTGCTGTTACCACTTATGCAGGTGGAAATGTTTCTAGGAGTGTGAGGAAATGGCCGTGTGTCACAGCCACAGGAAATGCTGATTTATTTATTGGCTTGGTCAGAGGAGCCTTTTGCAGATGGGTCTGAGCCAGAGACAGCTTTATGGAATGAGACGGCAGGAAATCGCCTTCCTTAGAAGAAGGAAATCACATTATCCTCTAATAATAAATAGGAAGAGGTCCCTGCAGACACAAAATCTGGCGAGACTTGTTTTATAGAACGCTATGGCTGAGACATTCGAAGGGACCAAAGGAAGTTAAGCACTTTCAATCTTAAGGGTTTTTTGGAGGGTAGCACTCTATTTTTCTCCAAAGGCAACCCATACCTAATTCCCTAGCCCCTAAATCCTCTGGAAACAATTCTCAGCTATTGGTTTATCTCATAGTTGTGATTTACAAAAGCTCAGATCATTGTTACTGTTTTTGCCCTACGATTGTAAAGGGAAAAAAGCGAAATTGATGTTTTTGAAGCAGAAGGCAAAAATACCTCTGTGAGAGTGGTACTTTGGGTTTGTCCCGTGAGAGTCAGTGACAACAGACGTTCTCCACAGCACTTTTAATTGCAATGCAACCTCATGGGTGGTTGCTAACGGCATTGCCGGTAACTTTGAGTAAAACTGGCGGTATTTTGACACCACCACCATGGTGCTCACCAGTGCCTTTACTCCATTCAAGAGACTTAAGGTAGCTATGTTGTAGAGCTAAACTCTGCAATTTCAGAGAAAGGGGTTTTGCAAGTTTCTCACGGACAGTAACAGCTGACAGGGATTTAACCCTTTCTTTCCTGCTATGATGAGCAATCCAGACTCTCAGAGTAACACAGCAAAAGGACAGTGAAATGTATAAAATGTTAAAACAACACTTCTTTAATAGAAGAAGCTTATGTTGCAGATTTTCATCTACAGAACAGTGAGATGGTTGACACAATTTTTACCAACTGTATTACTGTTTTGAAGTACTTGGTTAGTTTGCACATTTGATACTTTTTCCCACTGAAGGCTTATTTGTATTCTTTTTTTGTACTATTCTTCTCCAGATAGAATCCTCTCCCTGCTACCTGCTGACTGTAAGGATCATCCGTATGAGAAATCTCCAGCGAGTGGACACCTGTAAGTATTGCCATTCTTAGTGGTATCTCAGGGAACAGGCAGCAAGTTTTCTTTCATAATTGTATAGCAACCTTTTCCACGTGTTCCCGAACTAACCCAGTGTTTATGTAAACTAATTGTTATAAACCAGGTCAGTCCTTGTTGCTTGCTGCTGTTTCATTAAATGTTACTCCTGTGCTTTCCGGTTGGTTTTAGGACTTGAATGTGTTTTTGGGTATAAGTACTTTATCGCAAAGAAAGGAGAGTTTCTGACACAGGTAGAGGAAAAGGACTGCATCCTGCGCTTTCAAAATCAAGGGGTAGTTTTGCCATTTAGCTGTAGCACCTTGGGAACTGTGGCTGGGAGGAGCAAACTTTTCCATTCCTCCCAGTCTTGGTTCTGACACAGATGAAATGAACAAGAAAAAACTTTCTAAAATCATTACCACCAAGTTAATGGCATTATTAATTACCTTGGAAACTACTGCCAAAAAAAGCTACTGACTGAGAGCGGGATGCTTTGTCCCTTCTGATCGTGCAGCAGCCTTGAGGTTGTGCAAGCGTGTGAGTCACATGGCAGGAAAGCGAGTGAGCAGGGAAGGAAAACAGCACTGTTCAGTTAAAGGACGTGGACTATCCACACATGCAGTGAGCAGAAGTATTTCAGACAAAGAAGGTCTTCCCCGTGTGACAGCCCTCAGTGAGGAATACACTAGCCATATCTTCAGTCGTCGGGTTGCACTCTGCAGCTGTACCTCCCTCCTGGTCCATGGCTTTGGCACACACGTCATGATGCAACAGCACAGAAAGGTTTCATCAGGTGCTCATCTCAGATCTTCTCCATGTCAGGTGGCAAGACAAAATCACAAATAACTAGGTTGTAGGAAGAGATTGTGCAAACAGAAATGAAGCAACGTTTTGCATTAAATACACAGCTGACTAGTTTGCCTGCATCTACTCATGTAATTAAGGATTGTTTCATATGCTTTGTATCTCAAAATCCAGTTAAGATACAAGAATGATGAATCACATCAGTAGATCAGAGTACTTTGCCAGCCAAACAGCCGACAGTCATTGATCTCCCATGATAAACCAGAAGTCATGCAGTAGTCATCCAGAATTACTTTTAAAACATTTAAAAATCAATATAATTACTTCTGGGATCTCCAAACATATTTGGATACCTATTTTTACAGTTTCAAATAAATAATCAAAGCATAATAATTTTCCAGATTTAAAAAAAAAAAAAAAAAAAAAAACACTTGCACAGAATGAAATTGATGCTCTGGGGGGGGTATACTCTGTAGGTCCACTCCAAAAGCCTCTGGCACTTGAGGAAATTGAGTAACAAAAGGTACCCACTCTGATGACAGATCTGAAACAGCTTGTACATCCGGGGGACTAAACAGGCTACAGGCCTTCAGAGTGGAAGGGAAATTATTGAGGAGAACATGGAAGCTGGCTGTACAAAAAGGAATAGGAGGGAGAAGGTGAACAAAGAGTCATTTCTCACTGTTTCTCACAATGTGAGAGTAAAGGAGCACCCAATAAAGTTATCAAACAGGAAGCTTGAAACAAATAAAACCAACATATGAGTAAACTGTGGAACTCATTGTCACGGAAATGTATGGATGCTAAAATATACCTGTTCAAAAATAACTTATTCATGAAGCAAAAGTCTAGCAAGGGTTATTTAACACAGTATTCCCAATGCAAACTCTGGTTTGGGAGATCCCCACCGTGGCACTGCCTGAATGATGGAGGGTGTCTCAGGTGCAGTACCAAACTAGAATTAGCTTGTTTCTTCTGCTCTGTAGCAAGATGTAAACGAGCTATTGCCTGGCAGTGAAAAGATTAAGAATTTCTATTTTAAGATGAAAAAGCCTTATTGTTTTAGTTCTGTCTCATCCTTGGAAAAAAGATAAACTCTTCCAGATCAGACTTTCCCAAAATGCCCAGTCCAAGACAGACACACCTCCTGGAAACGTATAGACTGGATGCTGGAATTTGACAAGTAGAAGGCAATTAAAAACGATGTCTTAAGACAGAAGGAGAGCAGCCTTAAATCACTCTGTCTGTAAGTGAAATAAAGGCAAGCAACTCCTTTTCAAGGAAAAGGCGCAGACGAGAGACTTTGTTCCTGCTTCAGAGAGATGCTCATGTGCCTAAGCAAGGCAAAATGTGTAAGGCAGCCAGACTGGGTCACCCTTACTGGGGAGACATTCAGTATGAGCAGCCAATGATTTCAATTTTAGCAGTGAGTCTCCTGGCAGGCTGCTGTGACATGCATCATCTGTGTGCTGCAGTGTCTCCGCATGTTCATTAACGAGGCTCTTGATGCTGTTTATTGTTTATCTGTACCCACGGCAATGGTAAAGTCCCAGGTATGTCTCCCAGACTTTAATGCAAAGTGGGCATGAGTATAAGGAGAGCAGAAAGCAAAGGGATATAATATGCAACCAAATTGTCTAAAGTGAAAAAGACATCCCTGGGAATCATGATTCTCAGAGTTGTCAGTCTGCAAAGCCTGTTGTGCCATCTCTGGAGGGGAAACAGATGCTACTGGGGTAATTTCTGTTTTTTACATGTGTGGGTTTGAACGCAGAGCAGGAAGGCAGCCCGTAGCAGCCCTTCTCCTTCCCTTTGGGGTTTTGTTCCTTAAGAAAAGGAAAAGAAAGGAGGAAACCTGAATGTTGTAGGTGAGATTTCCACTCAGCTAACACAGGAAGAAAGCACAGGGAAGGAGGCCAAGAGAAAAGAGTGGTGGGAAGGTAGAAGTGAGTTAAAGCAGAAGTTAAGACTCTGGACAAGGACAGTTAAATTTCTGTCAGAATCTAATTTGCCTTTTTTTTTTTTTTTTTTTCTAATCCACAGAAGGTGGAAAAGAGCAGGAGAGGGAGAGGGTTAGGGCCTGCTGAATATTTTCTGAACATTTTTTTTTTCCATCAGAGAAATATTGGTTTAAGGAAAAATTTGCCAGAATTAAAAATGTTTTTTCATTTTTGCATTATTACACTAAAAAGTAGAAAAACAATAATTAAGGTGTCAGATTGTCTATCACAATGCATCCTGTGATTTCTCAAGCAGTTCTGAATTTCTGTTCTTCATTCTGACTTGGACAAAAAGGCAGCAAGCTTTTTTTAACAAATACGCTTTCAACAACATAAAACGCAGCCTCCACCCAGTTTGAGACAGAGGCAATGACTGTAGGGCGACAACTGCCAAAATCTGGTGGCGAAGGAAAGCGAAGACAAGAAAAAGTTCCTGTTGCAGTCAGGCGAGTTTTTGCCTTTCCTCAGAAGTAGATGTGCAAGCTCTGTTCCCCTGGCCTACCTGCAGAGTCCTTACCTGCTGCCGAAGGGTCCTCTCCATATATTGCTGCCATCTCTTGTCTCTCTCAAAAGTCTCCTCAAAGGACATTCTCAGAGTTAGTGACCTTTTGTATTAGGTGATATCTTGAAAAGCTTTACAACACAGCTGGCACATCTGCCTTTAAATAACCCATATTTGCTGTTGGTACCACGCAGTAACCTTTCCAGTGTCGTGCAGCACCACTGGCTTTGCCCCATTGGCGACTGTTTGTTCTCTTTCCCTTTTTCCTTTTCCCTGCCCAGTGACCCAGGCGGATTGCTACGTGTCGCTGTGGCTGCCAACTGCCACACGGGAAAGGTCCCGCACTAAAACTGTGAGAAACTCCAACAACCCGGTGTGGAATGAAACCTTCTACTTCAGGATCCAAAGTCAGGTCAAGGTAAGGAGTCAAGGTTGTCTACTGGTGTATGGTGGGTCCTACCTATCTCCTGAACTGCCCCCAGGGATTGTTTAAGAGATGGCACGTGATAAGGGACTGTTCAAATTGTTTAGCAGAAGAGATGACTGAGTTCCTGTGCCTGTTCGATGAAGCTCTTTAGGGGAGCCAGAAACAGAGCTCGGTTTTGAGGTTTTAGGGAAACTAGATGCTCACGTGGATCAGTGCTAGACAGATACAGAATTTGGGAGCTAACTAGGCTGTCGTATAGGTATCGCCAATGTATTACTCGTGTTACCGCAATTAAACTGAACTAAGGAAGAATGAATATTGGATTTACAGTATGTTTTTCCAAAGGGGGATGGTACTTAATTTTGCAGCTTTTCTTCTCAAACACATTTCCAACACTCCTCCTTCCCTGGAGCTAATGATGTCCAGACTGTAGAAACTATAAAAGAAAGCCTTCTCCCTCTTTTCCAGAATGTACTGGAGCTGACAGTGTATGATGAGGATTTTGCTACTCCAGATGATCATCTCCTCTGTGCGCTCTTTGATGTTGCCAAACTTCCAATTGAAAGAACAGTGATCCTGTATTTTAAGCCTAGTCCACAGGTGAGAGAAAAAAATAAAGCAACTAAGAAACCAGAGGAGAGTTGTACAACACTTCCAAAATCTTAGGCTGAGCTTTCCGAATCTGCCAGGAATGATTTATCCCAATAATAGGTACATGAATTGCTGTTCAAAATATAAACGCAAAAAATGTGGTAAAAAATCTGGATTTGAGAGCCTGAGCCCCTCCTCACAGTATTTTTGTGAATTATTAAAGAACATATGACTGAAACCATATGGTGTAAGGGAGGGATCCAACCATGAGCTATCTCTGACCAACACCAAGGCTGCACAGCTGTTGCAGGGTAAATAATCTGTAATATTTTTTCCATGTAATTCATAGGCACTACCCCATGACCCTTCGATTATATCTACTTTCATCCCTTTTTGGAGCTCTGAATGACTGATTTACTCTGCTTCTCAGTTTCCTATGTATAAAACGGGAAAAAGAGTCTTGATTCCCTTTGAGACTGATGGATGAGATCCGTGAAGTATCTCACACGCAACTTCTTGCTACCAGGGGCAGATTGCTTCTGGTACCCAAACTAGGTCACTCACAACTAGCTCATACATATCAAAACTGCCTTACGGGGGGTTGCATAACTGTAACTCTGAATCACTCAATAATACCAGTCTCTGTTTATTATGTTAAAGTGATGGGTGGAAAGTATCCTTAACTTCCAAGCTAATAGCAAGGACGGCAAGTCATGGCAGGACAGCGGCAGGAATAGTTGGGAGGAAAAGGCAGGATTCAGAAGACAAAGCGAGTTGCAAATTGTCTTTCCGGCACAGCTTCACACTAAGAGATAAAAGCACAGGTTGTTTCGATGAGACCTTGAAGAAGGAAGGAGGTGAGGAAGGAATCACTAAGCTATCTGGTTTGAAATGTTGTTTCAGACCTTCCAGTGTGAAATGTTTATCACAGGCTCTACGCTGCCACTAATTACTTCGATGTTGCATACCAGGGACCTGTATTTAGACAAGGAAGAAGGCATTATGTAGCCACTTCATTTTATTTCTTGTTCTTGCTTTCAGGCCAAGGAGGAGCTAGAGGTTGAATTCAAATTGGAGGCTGCGTAAGTGAAATACAGGTTATGTAAAAAATGCAAAAATAAGTAAATGCTAAAACAAATAAACAGCATTAGAAGTCATACTTTTGGGATTTCTGTAAAAAAGTGGCAGAATTCTCTTACATCGTTACTGCAGTTTCAGACACTCGGCTGATCCCTCCAGTCAGCTTGTTCTGTAGTTTAGTTACTTTCAGAGACGCACCTCCGAGCATTGTCTCTTCTATCCACAATGTCAGATTTGGCTACTTGGGGACATTTCAGGAGACTTTCTGGCTCTGTGTGCATGCGGCTGTGTGTGCACATATGTCTATCAATCTTTCCATGCCTGTTTCAGCTCATGCATTGTACAGACTTCTCATGTTGAACCATACTGGTTAAGTTTACAGTGTATCTCTGGCTCCTTCGATTTTCCCTTGCAGCACTGTTTTGGTCCTAGAAATTCTGTTTTCTTTCTGCCCAACACAATGACAATGTGTCGGAAGCTCTAGTGCAGGTACCCACTGCCCTGTGCCCCATTGATTGTATTTGCATACCAGTAAATACATAGAACTGGGCTTCTCAACAGGGATATACTGGTGTGTTAGCAGGTTACCACTGAAACACATGTACTTTACATGTTATAGTGAGGAGAAGAATTTGACTGCCTAACTGTAGATTCCATTTTAGATGACCATGAGATTGCATTGCAAAAAAGTAACCGTGACACACATCACTTAGCTTTGGTACAGATGCAAGCCCCCTCAGAGCAGTGCTGACAAGCAAGGATGGAAAGGAGCGTGTTACATACCTGCTGGGGTCCCTCTGGTGGTTCTTCTTCTAAGTGGGGAAAAAGGGTAACACCCTGGGCAAGGATGAGTAAGCATTTTTTGGATCTAAAAAACCAATGTTTTTAATTTTGTTTCCCAGTTCTGGTCCTCATGAAGTCATTGCTACCAATGGAGTCGTGGTGGTATGTGTCTTTTTCCCAATAAATTTTCAATGATTGTTTTCTTAATATGAAGGGGAAAGGAGAGCGGGAGTTAGAGAAGCCAGCAGGCCTGTTCTTTCTCTTTCCTCCCTCTTTCCTATTTAGATACTCTGAGAATGGGATATTTTCTTGCCCTGTTCATTGGTGATATCCCATTATTACCTATTTGTCCTATATTTTGACATACCACACACAGAGCTTTCCTCTTGTATCAGTATTCTGTCAAAACATTTACTGCTTTCTATCAAAGCAGTGGTAAAAAGACTGTGAAGCCCCTTGCTGATAACTTACCCATCCCTTTCCTCCCCTGGGAGATGAGCCATGCCTGGTGGGTAAGGTCAGTACTAAGTATTGACCTATCCTAATTACATTATGTGAAAGAAGAGTGAGTTCCCAAAAAAACTCAAAACCACAAAATGTTAATAACAATGTTTCTTCAGAAAACAATTTCTACTAATGACTCTTCATCTCCCAGCAGCATATCTTTCATTTATTTTTTCCCAGTTTAACTCTCTGTATCTATGCTACTATCCTGAAAATGCTCCTGATTTTCTTCCTTTGTACATTCCTCTTACTGTGCCCAATCATATGTCACTGTCACTGGAAGATGTCCTACAACTCCCTCAAAAGCTTTTCCTTTTTCTTAGTCAGTGGCTACTGGGCAAAAGCCCAGAAACACCAGGGAACTAGGCACCTCAGGTAACTAGACATGTCCAAAAGCTGAGTGATTCACAACTCCCCGTAACAAGGTTGGGATGTGGTGGTCTTTCTCACAGATTACTCTTCTCTGTCCTTTACAGTGTCGTGAACTTTGTTGCTTGGAAGTTGAGGTGGCAGAGAAGATGCAGCAAAAATCAAGTAAGGTTATTGCTTTATCTGTTTACCAATAACTGCATGATTACTGATGAGAGGATGCCCCTTTCATATAATGTCCTAGTGTAATAAATAGTATTTACAGTGTTCAGTGCAGTTAACATCAGGTAAACACATTAGGTTGTTGTAGACCTTAATGACTGCATCTCATACTCCATTAGGTATATGTAAATCACGTCTGTTAGACCTGTGTTAAAGTTGAAATCCCAGTTCTGTATAGCAACAAGAACATTTAGAGTCCCCTCCCTACCAAAAAGAAATTCTCTTTGCTCCTTTCTCTTCACTGCCAGTGCTCCCTTCAGAGCACTTTCCAGTAGACAAAGCCGTGGTCTAAACTCCAGCTCTGCTACCTGCATCCCACTTTCAGTCAAGCCAGCACAATTTTCTGGTTAAATCATTTGTTTTCCTTTTTTAGAGAAAGAGCTTTCCCTCACTGTGAAGGGCTCCTTTGAGGGGACACAGGATATCACGCTGGGCCCCGACGGAGTGGCCAGCCCGTCGGGTCCCACCAAGTTCCACTACATCAAGTATGCGGAGCCGACGCTGGACGTCATGTTGCCAAAGAAGAGACGTTATCACCCTGTATGTTGGAAGTGACCTTAACGATGAACTGACCATGAGTGCCTCTCTAGAAAGTGGGAGGAGGGGGAAAGGGGAAACCCACCACTGTTTTTGTCCTAAAGCGTGTTGTTTTCCCAGTGGACCTGTAAGTACAGTACAGAGACGGGCTCCCCCGTGGTGATGCTGAATTCACTGCCCATGGGAAGGAAAACAACCATTGCAGAGGTGAGCATCACTTCCAGCTCTTAGGGATAACAGGTTATTCAAGCAGAAAACATTCCCCACAATATTGTCCTGGATGGCTGCTAAGAGGGTCAGAAATGTTCCGGTTTTTTTCTTAGACCTTGAACAAACAGGACCTTTGTGTCTCCAGCTGTTTTCTCCACAGAAGCAGCTTGTCCCTCCATTAGTCTCCATTATATGTGCCAGTGGTGGATATAGAGACCAACAAGGATGCTAGAAAAGATGATGATTCCTTCAGTACATCTCTCCCTGCTACCCAAAGTCTTGCTGACCCCTCCTTTGCTTAGGGTCCAAGCTGAAAGTTGCTCCTTGGACACAAGCTAGGAAAAAGTCACTAAACCTGCTCTTAGTAAAACATGTGCTTCAAATGGTAATACATTAAAATATATTGAAAATATTAGAAATAATGTATGAATTTTAAAGAATGTAATGAGAATATTGCTTAAAATAGATGTATATGCTGTATGACTTGGAATGAAATTAATAGAAGAAAAGGATCCTTAATATTAAAAAAAAAAGTGTTTCTGCTAAGAAATATTTACAGATGCGCAGATTATTAGGGACAATCTTGTCCAAATTTCAATTGTTACGTTGTGAAGAAGTAGGAGAGCATCAGATTTCAGGGCCATTAGAACATCTTCTCAGAGCAGAGCACTTTTTGTCAGTTAATGTGAAGGTTGCAATATGATTTTTAAGACAAGATGAAGTCTTGGTAGAAGCAAATGCAGACTTGCAGTCTCCTCACTGTGAGACTGTGGCCAGGATGTCAAAGATCTGCTGTGTATTAGAGCATAAAGAATGGGAAAGGTACGAAAGATGGTATTTTAGGATGCTGCAAAAAGCTTGTGAATAACATGGGTCTCAGGAACCTCTTATTCCACGATTGTTAATGGTTTCTGCAGCCTGGAAACATTTGGGATCTGTGGGTAGGGATGTTCCACTAAGGATAAGTGAATGCTTTTGGAAAAATATGCCAAGATCTCAGACGCTTAACTTCGTGATTGCTAGACCTTGCTGGGGTCTAAATCCATCTCTGACCCCAAGACAGAAAGGGGAAAAAGAAATTTTAAAATTAAAATTAAAAAATTATGGTACATTCTTGTTTTCCAGGAGAAAAGATTTGACTTGAATGTGACAGCACAAAGCTGGTAAGAGATCTTTTGATATTGTTCTAGCCACATGGAAAGGACATCAGCAGGCATTCTCAGTCTGAAAACTAGAATGGGCTTTTAATAAAACACAAGCACAGTATATTATACATAATTAGCCTTGGGAAGATACGGCTTTAATAAACAAATATTGATAAGCATATACTTATTTTATCATCACCCCTTCCTTTCTGACCACAGAATATTATTTTTGATTAATGTCAGTCTCTGAAATTCCCAAAAAGAACAAAGCTGGCTAAACAACCAGAATGGATGGGAGTAAACATTAAACTTGATTAGAAAGTACAAACATTTTTTTCCTTAACTGTCAATATTCAGTAGCAATAAGCTTTGTGTTCTGTTAAGTCCAGTTATACTGCATATTGAATAGAAACTCGGGTAGACAATGCAGCTAGTGATTTGACATCTGTAGACATGCTCATTAATACTCATCACTAAACATGGAGATGTTTCATGTTATCCGTAACCACATGTAACACACAGAACTGGGCAAACTGACCTTTTTTTTGTGTGTGTGCCTGACTAGGAAACAAAAGGGAAAAATAACTTAATTTTGAATTCAAACAGAATTCTTTATCATTCATTTCAGAGAGGCAAGTGACCAATGACAACAGGAAAACCAGTGTTATTCCAGAACAGGAAAAAATGTGACCATTTATTTATTTTACATTCAGAGAACTTTAAAGCAGTTTGTTTATATCTTGATTTACAACGGAAACCGACTTTTGCAGCTCCACTCAACTCAGTTCCCTTTGTGTATCTTCATTTACAAACACAGTTGTCATCATTTGGCTGATATTATCCAAATCTGATGGTGGAGAAATCTCGTACATAAATTTCATTTCTAGTTTCATTGAAATTACAGACTCGGAAGAAGAGAGTTCTGTCATGGAAAGCAAAAGCAAAACCCTGCTGTTTTATAATGCCTGGCCAGGGTGTCCACAGGTAGCTCTGGCCTGAAGACGCCACGCCAGGTCTCTTGCCCACTGAAGTCTTGTAGGTGCTAGGGAAGGGAGAGCAGGAGGGAGATTAGTGAGCAGAAGAGTATGGATGTCCAGGAAAATAAGCTGCAACAGTGGAGTTTTAAGGAATGACTTACTGAATTTCAAAATTGACGCAAATGTAATCTTCCTCTGAAGAGTATCATGCTTTGCAACTTTTGAGTCAAGGTTGACGTGAAATGCAGCTGCCAGTGTTGACCCATGAGACAGCTTGTGCAGGTGCAGACAGATCAGAGCAGTGGGGGTGAAATCATGCCCCACCAAATTCAGTGACCCATCTCCATCCCTTCAGGGGTTGGATGTCACCACTCCAGCAGGCAGTGTGACATGGCCACCTGTGCCCCGCAGGCGGGTGGCTGGGTTTCCTCCCCAGCGATGGTCACCGCTAGAGGGGGTTGTGTTCCCACACGAGTTGCTCAAAATGGGACATTCCCTTCAGGTTGGAAATGCCAACAGTTGAAAACCGGGATTTATTTTAGATTTAGAATGAGAAAATATCCCATGAAATGGGAATCAACACTCCCACTTTGGAATATTTGCACAGATTTTTCTGAACTTGTAATTATTTTAGTTTTAGACTATTAATGTAAATATTTTGTTTCATTTGTAGATACTATACATTGTTTCTTCATCAATTAGTAACAATGGGGCATAATGCTACTGGTTAAGCTTACTAATTGAAATAAGTTTTCTTACTTTAAAAAATAACTGGAATATTCTCTCTTGCTCTTGTCATATTGCATCACCCTGTTTGAAAGGAAGGGTACTGTAGATTGAATTTTATCGAGGTCTTAAGATTAATATGTAAAATATGTGCCTGTTTTTATTTTAGTAATTGTTCGTGCCACCAAGACCTGGACATGCGCTTTGGGTTTAACTTATGTTCGGAGGAGATGGCTTTCCTGGGGAAAAGAAAGAAATATGTAGCAAGTGCCCTAAAAAATGTTTTTCACCTACAACAGGATCTTCAGGATTGTGAAGTACGTGTATGTTGGGGGGGTAGATCTTGAATTTCTAGTGCCTTTATGTACTCTTCTAGATGAGCAGTCAGCAAAATGGGCCACGTGCATCTGTGGTGTGGGTACCAGCTTGTCTTAAATACATTTGCTTCTTCTCTCAAGGTTTGTTATTGCAAGAAACTCTAGTTGCAGTAGTTGCATCCTTCATGACTGTCAATCTGGAATCTGTCAGATCTGAGGTGTGTTCATCCCTGCTATCCTATGTTATAACTGGCTTGGTTCAGAAATACTGCCTGCATACTAAATACATTACATAGCAAAGATTTCTTCCCTTGTTCAAATGTCGTCATTTTGTGAGAGTTTAGGATAAACATCTCTGAGTGCTTCTTACAATATCTTCCCTTCCTTGCAGTTCTGAAATTCCTTAAAATAAATATAGTTTATTTGAAAGTAAGTTCATGATACTGAAGGAAAATAGCATTGATGAGGGCAGCTTAACAACACTGGCTGTGAACTGACTGTATTTCTTCATGGATTTGGCATGTGGATGTTAAAACACTAGTACTAGATGTCTGCAATAAGAAAAAAAGTGTCAAAGGAATAGGAAATGTATAGAAAAAACATTGTTGCCTCCACAGAAGGATTTCTTCTTGTTCATCCCTGCCCCTACTTGCCCTAGAGATGGGTAAGAGCCCAAGTTTGGTTTAATGTCTGAACCTGTGTTTATCCAAAGGGAAGCAGCAGTTGCAGTCCTTGCTTGGTTTTGGAGCCTTTCCTTCTGAAAAGGGACCCAGGCTCTGGGATCAGGACCTGGGCTGGGTGTGGTGGCCAGACCCTGCTGAAGTCTGGGATGGCATGTTGAATGCTGTTGGTCTGAATGTCCCTCCCTCCTCTGCCCAACAGGTCCCAGTTGTGGCTATCATCACGACAGGCGGAGGGCTGAAGTCAATGACAGGACTCTATGGCAGTCTCATGGGACTCAAGAAATTAAATCTCCTGGACTGTGTGACATACATCAGTGGGCTGTCCGGCACCACATGGTAAGCCAGCTCGGGCAGGAGGCTTGGCCAGGCCTTTTGAGGGTGATGCTGCTGCAGAGAGGAGCTTCTGAAATCAGACAAGATCAGGAGATATTCTACAAGCATTGTAGAAACAAGCTACTTCTCAGTAATGGGCCATTAAATATTAGCTTGATCTGATGCACCGATTGTTCATTAGCCATTTTTTACTGTGCAACATATATATGACAATTACACTTGTCAAAATGCCTTCTAAGTGACTAGTTACTGTGGATGTAAGACTGCCCATAGCATCATGCCTTGTCCTCTCTCCACTATGTCCCAGTTGTTGTTGCTCCCAGTAGCTTCTGAGACTGGCTCTGTTTTCTGACTGGTTACGCAGAGTAAACTGCAGGACAGTGCACACTTACCCCTCCAAGCTGTCAGTTTGGGAGAGGACTGAGTTCCCCTGGGCAGCGTTACTGCTCACAGGACCTGCCCAACATCTGATGGTTCCACACAGGGAAGGTTGGCGAAATAGAGGATGGTGTTAAAATAAATCATAGTGATACCATAAGATTAACACTAAGTGATGCAAAACCAAGAGACAGCAGCTAGTGCAAAGCAAATTCATTATAATTTTCTGACTAATTTGTGCTTCAAAAAGGTACCTATGTTCACACCTAGCAATTCTATCCCTTAAGCTGCTGCCAGTTCTGTTTAAAAAAAAATATCAAAAACATAAAAAACACCCTTAACCTTCAAGCCCATCTTTAAAACAGTCATAGGAACTCTGGAGTGTTCATTCTGCTGGATGGAGCAGCAATACCAGAGTATCTATGAGCAGAAGTGAATCCCTAAATGTAAATCTCTGTCCTCAAAGGCAGGACATTTCAAGTCTTTTTTTTTTGCTGTTTTTCATTTTTGCTGTCTATATTACCTTTCTCCAGGACCATGGCCAACTTATACAGAGATGCCTACTGGTCCCAGAAGGACCTAGACTGGCATATTGGTGAAGCCCAGAAACATGCAACCAAGTGCAAGATGGGCTGTTTCTCCATGGATCGCATGAAGTACTACAACAAGCAACTTTGTCAGCGGAAAGAAGAGGGATACAGGACATCATTTATAGATCTTTGGGGGCTCATGATTGAGTACTTACTGAATGATGGGGTATGATGTATATTCCATTTCTTAGAGAAACTTGTATTTTTCTCTAGTGAATGGAGAGGAGACTAGCCCATCATTTCAGAGAACACATCTCAAAGCAGAGTGGAGTTCTCCATGTCAACAAACTCTCAGATTTTTTTTATTTCTTTAATAGTCTATCTAGGGAAAAATGCATACTGTATGTTAATAAATTAGGTCATAGATGTAGCCTTTTGAACTCTGGCTGGTATCTAAACAGAAGTGGAGGCAATCTCAGGCAGCCTGCCTAAGATGCAGATTACTCATGCAAAACAAGCTCAAGATGAGAAGCAGAGTAATCTCAACAGTGTGAAAACTATCCGAAGCAAGCACGAAACAGCTAGGGTCCTTGGTGATTTGCATCCTCTGGCAGGTAGCTTGATCTGCAGGTACACTGGAGGCAAGCGCACATTTTACTTTTGCTGAGAAAGACTGCTCAAGCAGTAGCTGGTTTAAGTGATATTGATTTTTACAAGCAATAACAAATTTGCTTTGCTATTATCTGAAGTGGTTTCTACCCCTAGAGTATAGCAGTCCGCTCCCTCTTCTCTCCAGCTGGAGCACAGTTCAAGGATGTGTGCTTTGGCACTTGGGAAGTGGGAAGGGACAAGTGGTTGAAGATTCAAGAGGAGTGTGCTCCAGTGGGGGCTGAAATGCTGCAGTCATTCAGCCTTTCATTTGGTTTTATTTATTTCTTTTTCTATAAGTACACATATAGAGTATTACATATATGTAAACACAAAATAAATACATAGAGAGAGGAACACTACATATTAAACAAATGTATAAACTGAACAGCTGCCTCTCTTTTAATCTCAGCTAGATGAGGTCCCCCTCACAATCTGGTATAAGCTGAACAGCTGCCTCTCTTTTAAACTCAGCTAGATGAGGTCCCCCTCACAATCTATCCATGCATCTCTCCCTTTTAGCAATGCTGACTATTGCTATGTAACCATTAACATCTCCCTAATCTGGTCTTAAATTTGTCAGGAGTTCATGAGATTTTTTTTTTTTTACAAACCTCTTCATGAATGAGAATATGTTTTTCCAGAAAAGAAGCTGCCAAATTTTTATTTCCATCTCTTCTCACATAACTGTTTTTCTTCAAAACCAGAAAGACCCCCACAAACTTTCAGAGCAGCAAGAAGCCCTGTGTGATGGCCAGAACCCACTGCCCATCTATGTGTCGGTCTGCGTCCGGGACAACTACAGCACCAATGATTTCAAAGGTAAGAATTATGTTTCACATCCTATGGGGCTACAACTGGCAACTGAATTCCTGTGGTTTGCTCTTCTCTGCTTTGTAGCACTTGGAGTAAACAGCCCTGGTGTATTAGTTCTTCTTTTTGAAGAAATAACCATCACCTCCATGCCTTATAATTTTGATACAAGAGCTTTTTGAGATCAGCGTATCACTGTCTAGACATATGCAATCAAAAGCCCGTCAGGCCATTTTTGAAATATTATCTGATATACCTAGAATAAGAAGCATTGGAATTGTCTGAAAATTAAATATTGGTTTTTGTCTGTGACCAGTTAGAGTTTCAATATGAAGAAAGAACACATACTTATGATAAAGGTTGGGAAAGCATCCAACCTACTTCCAACTGAATCTTTGGCTTTGCTCATTGTTTTGGTTATTTTTTATTCCACGGAGAGAAGAGATGGAGGAGGAGAAGAGGTGGAAAAGAAATTCAGATTAAATTTTTATGGTTGAGGTGAAAAAACAAACCACTTCTGAATGAAAAGGAAGTTATGGTCCATAAGTCATTTATAAGCAAGGCAGCATAGCAAACAGAGGTCAGCCCGGTTCATGCCCTCACTGCCCCACTCTCCACACCCAACAGAGAGCCTGGGAGCCTGCTAAGTGTCCTCTTGTTGCTGTATTGCAGAGTGGGTGGAGTTCACACCCTATGAGGTGGGACTGCTGAAGTACGGCGCCTTCGTTCGCACAGAGCACTTCGGAAGCGAGTTCTTCATGGGACGCTTGTTAAAAAAGGTCCCCGAATCCCGGATCTGCTACCTTCAAGGTGATGTATCATGTTGTCCTGGCACAGAGGCACTTCAGAGTGGTGCAATGTCATTAACCAGAGCGTGGGTATTTCATGTCTAACACACTGAACACTACTATGATATAGACTGCCAGGAAATGGGAGCGTGTGGTAGTTTGTAGTAGCAGGAAAAAAATCCCACATCTTTTTTCAGCTTCTTGTCACTGTCTCTGTATGCACAAAGCTTTTAACATAGTGTCTCATAGATGGGATAGATAGAGCTCCTTAATTCACTGTAAGAGATGTGTTCCCACTTTTTTGGTTATCCTTATGATTCCTCTCTGACTGCACTCCAATTTATGAAAATTTTGACACTGCAGGAAATCTGCATCTGTGCTTCCACCATGAGGTTTAACTTCAACCCCATGTAGAGAATCCCATCTACTAAAATTCAGGCTGCCCAGGACAAAAAGTGAGATCAGACCAAAGGGTGTCTGAACCTCTCAAGCCTGTGCCTGACTTATACTTTGATGGGTTGTGTGTAAGAATAATAATATCCCTTTACTGAGGAGTCAGAATCACCTGGAAGTGAACACAGAGCTGTGCAAGTCCAGTTTCAGTCACCTCTTTTCGTACTTGTGCTGCTTAGAAGCTCCTTGGTTTCAGTAAAGGTGCTGTGATATTAAATAGTCCATAATCCCAAGGAATATCTTTAAAGTACTGCCTCTCAGGCTGGTTCTTTTTACCTGGCCCACTGCTGGGAAGTTCTTTTTCTATATAGTGTGAATGCTGTGTTGGTTTGTGTGTCCCACTGAAAATTAGGGAGTCCATTTGTGGTAGATGGAGAATAGAAATTTAAATTTACAATGGCAGGTGAAATGGTGGCATTGTGTTTTGTCACTAAAGCCACCACAGGGGCTCTCCTGGATGGAGAAAAGAGTGCACAGTGGAGCGGGAACCCGCTCGCTGTGTCTGTGAGCCTTCATGTGCTGTGGTGTGAGATATTATCTTATAAACCGAACGGCTGAACAACCAGTTCACCCCTCTGCATTACCTGGGCTCTTGTCTTGTTTCTTGAGTGACTGCTTTTTCTCCTTCGCTTTTCTCCCATTCTCCTGTCTCTTTACTGTGCGGCAGAGCCACGCAGTAGCTTAGGTGCAGAGCTGATGGCAGTGTGACCTGAGCCAATGCCATAGAAAGTTAAGAGGAATTTAACAGCCCAGAAGTTTAGAAATATTTGAATTAAGCCCATTCAAAAATTAATCCAAGATATCAAAAGAGAAGGAAAAAGGCAGTTTCTTGTTAAAATGTGTCCTTTTGTTCTCTGATTCCATTTACAGGTATGTGGAGCAGTATATTTTCTGTGAACCTATTACAAATATGGGGACTGTCCCACAGTTCAGAGGACTTCTGGAAGAGATGGACACAAGACAGAATAGAAGAAGTCGGTAAGAAATTATTAAGCCTTTCATTTATGGTCACTTAGTCTTCTGGATGCCTTTTGGCATCATCCTGCCAACTACGTTGAAGCCAGCGTCACAGGATCCTCTTAAGAGACGGTGACTTCCCCTCCCACTGTGAAGAGTAAGAGGAAGAGGCTAATCAGGGAAATGCTGCTGTAATTATTGGACTTACTAAAACCCGACAGGTTAAAAGGCTCTGTCCATATGAGAAAGCTTTAGAAAGGTCCCACATTTCTCAGGAATTGTTTTGGCATTGCCCGTTCTCACTCACCCATACAGAATCAAGAACCATTGGCAGAGAATGAAGTAATTTTTACTGCCTGTGCAGACAATAAACCTGAATATCAATTGGCTAATCAATATTTCCTGGGTTTTATTTTATTACTCAGTGCAGTAATTGCTGCATTGGATTCATCCTGGCACAAAGATAAATGAAGCCCAGTGGGTATTTTCTGAAGCAATACAGAAACCATGGTTTTATTGCTAAACCATTTAATATGATAGTAACTATAATTACAGACATCCTGAAAATAAATACATCTGTGTAATCATGGAAACCACCAAGTCTCTCCTGCTGCACCATCAGCTACTCTGTCCGGCAAAGCAGGTTGTGATTTCGATAAAACCACACCTTGTGCCATTTCCACTTTTCACCCACGTACTCTGCCATGTAGTCACCCTGAAAACTACCTGTAGTTTCTAAATATGAGTGTATGCCCTAGGTTTTCCGGGGATGCTCTCATTCTACTGATTAAGCATGCGTTCATGTAGCCATGGGTGATTATCAGGTAGAAGCTGTCACTGTTGCAACAGACCCCGTGGTGCAATTCCCCCTGTTGTCCATCTGACTGAGTAGGAGCATATGCTTCAGCCCCATTTTCTCCATGCTTGGCAGTGTAGTGATAGGACAAGGGGTAACGGTTATAAGCTGAAAGAGGGTAGATTTAGACTAGACATTAGGAAGAAATTTTTCACTGTGAGGGTGGTGAGGCAGTGGCCCAGGTTGCCCAGAGAAGCTGTGGATGCCCCATCCCTGGAGGGGTTCAAGGCCAGGCTGGATGAGGCTTTGAGGAACCTGGGCTAGTGGGAGGTGTCCCTGCCCATGGCAGGGGGGTTGGAACTAGATGATCTTTAAGGTCCCTTCCAACCCAAACTATTCTGTGATTCTATGCTTGCCTCTGTTTCGTTACATCTTCCTGTGAGGATAATTAACTTTCTTTCTGACTGGACATTCTCTGAATTGCTTAGTTCCCTAAGGGTGTCCGCTTTCCAGGATTAAAGATTGCTTCTGATGAACTACCTTCAGGCCAAAGCTTAAGACCATCAGCAGAGCTTTGTCCACCAGCCACTCCTTCAGAATATTTTTTTTGCGTTTAGTGAATTGTCCCAGAACAATCCCTGAGATCTTCCTTTTTGCGTTTAGTGAATTGTCCCAGAACAATCCCTGAGATCTCCCACACCCTGGGACAACCAGAAACAACAGTTCACCAGTTTTTCTCCCCTCCTCTAGATGAAGAGCCAGTGTTGCCCACACGACCCCATGAGCTGAGGACTCGCATGTACACCCCTCCTGGCCCCCTGGCCAGCTTCCTTCGGGGAGCATTGACTGACCGCTTCTCTGTCGCCCAGCACCACAACTTCCTGAAGGGCTACCAGCTGCATAACAACTACATGGAGAACGAGCACTTCTGTCGTTGGAAAGGTAACAGGGACTCATATTTCACAGGCATCATTTTCAGGTGGTTTCGGAGTGGGGAATTTAGGAAAGAACCCTGCCAGGGTTGGCAGGGGAAAAAAAATCTCCTGAAAGAACATTTATTTTCTGAAGGCAGAGAAGAGGCTAAAACTTCAGTGTTGTCAGGTGTTTAAGACTGTTTTTAAATATAAGCATGTGTTTACATGCTTTAGGTAAGATCTCTCTTGTCCAGACTGAGAGGGTAGGCTTGCAGTGGGCAGAACTGAATTTAAAGTAGCAAAGAGCAGAGTGACCATGGGAGAAAGCTGAATTTGGCAGGACTGTGCCTCTAACTTCAGATGCAACTGGAATATCCCAGAAAATATGACCTAAGAGAGAAAGCTGGAAGGAATGGGGGTCTGTAGTCCAAAGAAAACTGGGCTGATGGGAGGTGTAAATCCAAACGTAAAAAGGGACAGGAATATTTCATTCTCCAAATCAATGACGGATAAAAGGGGAAACAATGATTGCAATGAAGCAAGGGAGATAGAGGTGAAGTAATGGGAGGTATAAATCCAAATGTAAAAAGGGACAGGAATATTTCATTTCCAAATCAATGACGGATAAAAGGGGAAACAATGATTGCAATGAAGCAAGGGAGATAGAGGTGAAGTATTAGAAATAGCTTACTGGCACTAAGAAGTATGACAAGTTACTGGAATTGATTGCTTAAAATCTCAACATGGAAGATTTTTCAAAACAGGAATTGAAGTTATATTTTGCTGTCCCTCCCACCCCTATTTGACAATCTGGTAGTTTGGCAGTTAAATTAAACCAGGCCTCTGGGATGGTCAGTTCCACCTTGCATTACTTTTGCCAGTCAAAATGCCTACATTTCTTATTCTAAGAAATATTTTCCTTTTAGACACTGTATTAGACTCACGTCCCAACCAGCTGGTGCAAAATTCTGATCAGCTGGGCATGATAGATGCTGGATTTTTCATCAATACCAGCAGTCCACCACTTTTAAGGCCACAGAGGGAAGTGGATGTCATCATATATTTAAGTTATACTACTGGATCACACACGTCGGTGAGGAGCATCTTGTTACCCTATATTGTTTCTCCTTTTGCTTGTAGATGTCTAGCCTGTAGCACCTGCAACTGTTAGTTATTTCAGCTGTTCAGTTTCGGACTACTGCATTCTCCTATGCTTTTCTCTGTAGTAATTCATATTGTTCATATTTCTTCCTGCCACTCCTGGAATCTCTCCTGCTGGTTTATGAACATGCTGTATTTTTCCAGAGGACACCACCACAGTCTCTTCCAGAATGGTGGGAAAAGCCTCTTCTGCTTTATGCCCAATCGAGCAGATTCCAGACCCTGCACAGGAATCTGCATAAAGATGAGGAAGCGGTTTCTCCTGACTTAAGTTAGAATATAAGAGAGGGGCTAAGTGGACAGTCAGGGCAGATCACTTCTGGGCTGACAAATAAGATGCTATTAGGAAAATTCAACGACAAGCATCCTCCTGCAGAAACTCCGGTTAATTAGCTGTCTATAAGGCCTTGCCAGAAAGAAGTTTGAGTCTTTATATCTCAGAGACTCAGTTTGGTTAGAAACCCACTATAAAGCATCTTGGCCTGCTTAAGTGGAATTATTTTTTGTGAATGAGAACAGCTGTGCTACTGTTAATAAGCTATATGATGCATGAGACATACATGTAATGAAGTTTCATATCAGCCTCATACACTGTCTAGATTAATTTTATGAAGAAAGGCTGCTGCAGTTTTAAGCACTTTGGTAGAAACTGATTCCTATTTGATAGAGTCCACTATTAGATGTTGCAGAGTAAATAACACAGCACATAGTAGAACATGACATTGTATTAAACATTTCAGGGAAAAGGTACAATATGGCCTAGTACTTCAGACTTCTCAGCAAAATACCAGTCTCAGTTAACATTGTGCCACAATGCCTGCACAGGCAGGGACGTAGTTGCCTATTCAAACTTAACTTTCTTATCTCCTGGCTTCCAAGCGTGTAATAAGCTACCTTAAACATTTTCTTGCTGTGGTTTTCTTTTTTAATAATTCTGTACAATATATTAAACACAGGCTCTTTAATTTACTAAAACTACACACTTTACCCTAAACTTCTGCAAATCACGTCCATTTTTTAAAAGGCAGTGTCCTACATGAGTTTTCTGAAGTTGTGTTTACAGTTTGTGATTAGTAATCTGGTTACTATGTGTGGAATTATGTGTAGATAAGATAGGAACCCACCTTGATAAGAAGGAACCCACCCTACGGATCTGAGTCACTAAACCTTAACACTAGATAACAATTTGGGGACTTTAAGACAGCCAAGTTGAATTCCAATGCTGACCATTTTTTTAATACTTCCAGACTCTAGATAAGGCATACAAATACTACTCGGAGCAGAAAATCCCATTCCCCAAAATTTCTTTGACTGATGAAGATAAGAAAAATCTGAAGGAATGCTACCTCTTCCAAGATTCAGATGTGCCAGGATGTCCCATCGTGATTTTTCTTCCCCTTGTGAATGATACCTTCCGAGAGTACAAAGCACCTGGTAAGTTACAAGCAGTGGCAAAGCATTAATCAAAAGACAGCACTACCTACTTCCCTGACACAGACAGAGCCTTTTTCTCGGCTACGGGATATCTTTGTTGGCTGGGTTCATGGGGTAGCACTTTAGCGAATTAAACCTGTTACCCCCATCCCTGCCAAAGCTGGTGTGTTCATTCATGTTATCTCTGTGGTCCTAAGAGGACAGACAGCCTTTCTCTTCTGAATGGTGTTTACCTTCATTTCTCTCCCATTTGTAAAATAAAGCGTTAGCTAATTGCGAAAGTTTTTTCCTGGGAAAAGTGTAGCTCACACTGATTACTTTCCCCTACATATATTGTCTGTTGTTCAAGGATTTCATTCTACACTTGAGGAGGTATAGCATCATGCATGAATGGTGAGGGAGCAAGAACCTGGCTTTCAGGCCAAACGGCAATGTCAAGATCAATCCTTTTTGTACAGCACCAGCCCAGGGGTCCCTTTGCTCACTGGGCTGTGGTTGGGGGCTGCCATTCTTTTTCTGCCCTGGCCACCTGCTTCATATTCCTCTCCTTTACTGCCAGTTACTAGGGTGCATTTGCTTTGCTCCTTGGTAGTGGGAATGTAAAGTCCAAAGTTCTGCTTCTGCAGAATTTGGGAGACACAAGCAATGCAAAGCTAGAGATGGATCCTGATGGCAAGCCCTCTGGGACTGCAGTTGGGATTGCAGGAACTTTACGTTTCCATATTTTTCTATTACTCCTTTCTCACTTAAACGCTATTCTGTTACTAGCAACTCCACTCCCTCAGCTGGGGTTCGTAGAGGGCCTAGCTGCTCAGATAAGACCTGCAGTGCACTGGCTGTGCACATCGGAGTGCCCTTTCAGGCTGAGGTCCTTGACTAATACATGGCTTTAATGAGCTAGCTGTTCATGAGTAAGTTGTAGATGACGATTACAAGGCCGTCCCTCACTTCTCCCTTCTCATCACTTCAGGCACAAGATGTTCTCTTAACTAGGAGTGGCGATGCACAACCTGCCTCATTGTCTGATTTACACCTTGTGATTTCTCACCTGGAGGAAAGTCCCTCTCTCTGGGCTGCTGTGGACAGCTTGTCCCTGACTGAGGCAAATGCTGTGTCACTGCAGTAACTTCTCTTTCTCTCCAGGTGTCAAGCGCTGTTGCTCGGAGATGGAGGAAGGACAACTTGACTTGACCAGTCGCTGTTCCCCCTACTGCATGTTCGCAGTCAGGTACACGGACGAGAATTACCGCCGGCTGCTGAAACTCAGCGAATACAACATCCTGAACAACTCGCAAATGATCATGCAAGCCTTGCAGATAGCCATGCAAAGGAGAAGGCAAAAAATGTGCTGATCATCCATCCAGCCACCCCTGTCTTCTCCGAGGAGTTTTTCATGCTCTAGAACACAGAAGGGACATAGCTTTCTTGAACACTGGCCATTCTGCACTGCAGAAAAAACTATCCCAGGTGGCTCAGGGGTTTGTTGGTTTTTTTTTCCATTCTCAAGAAGTGGCCTCTACAGGCAGAGATATTGTCAGGGAAATTTTTACACGTGCTTCATTTCCTAAATTAAGGTTGTCTGTAGAACACTCTTTACCTAAAATCCTTGTTAGATTTTTTAAATAGTGTTATTTTAAGCCTAACTTGTTAAAATGCATGACATAGAGGAAAATCACTATTTCCCGCCGTGGTGCTACAGTCATACAACCCAGCTAACACCGCTACCGGCCATAAAGAGGGGGGTATAAACTTCTACTCCCCACAATTCTTCTTCGTGGAACACAAGGTGCATCCAACCCTGGAAAACGAAGAAAACCTGAGACACAACTGGAAGCTGGCATTGGATCCCTGGGTCAACTCTGTTTTGCAAGTGTCCTGAAGAGCAGCTGCAGAGGTTGAAAAAGTGACAGGGACAAGTGTGTGCACACAGCCAGCCCTGTGTCCACCTCCTGGGCTCTCTCGGGCTGTGAATGAATCACACGTAGATGGGAAGGAGCAACGCAGGAGGAAGTGGTGTGAGGTTTTTCACTTAATTTTTTATTTTTTCCAGCAAAAGGTGGAATTTGGGCACATCAAAATTTCCTGTGAATTTACATCAGTTTTGATTTTTTTTGTGTTGAGGAGGTATATAAAAAGTCAACATCTTATTTTGAAGCTTTCAAAATAAAACACCCTGGGATTTTTTTTTCCCAGTTGAGTTACTTGTCATATTAAACTTTCTTTCTTAAATTAAGAAGAAAAAAAAGCTTCAAATGAAAATATTTTAATTCCACTAGGAATGAAACCTTTGTTGTTTTACTCAATGCAATTTGTTTAAACAATTGGGACATACGCTCATCAACAAAAATGCTTATTTCTTTAGTTCTGCCTGCTCAAACTGTGCAAACAAACAAGAGTGAGTTAGTAGTCTGCAACAACTAAGACCATCTTAAAACAAGCTGAACAGACCCTCCATGGGATGGAGCACAAAACCACTGATAACATTTATTGTGGGTTTGCATTTTTAAACTTTCTTCATATCCCCTTTTATGGAAAGTGTCTTTTCTGAACTGTCGAAAGTGCTGAGGATGAGCTGTAAAAATTATAAATCCGTAACAACCTTTGCATTCCAGGAGCGAGTCACATTGAAAATACACTTTTTTATTAACGAGTTTTGTCTCCTAATGACAACTGGGAAAATTTTGAACAAAGAGTCGATTCAGTAAAAAAAAAAATCTATTAAATAGATGTCATAATATGGGGCTAAAAAAACCCCAGTGAAAATACTTCAGTAAGTTGAAACATTTCATGTTAGTATTTTACAAAGTGTCTTTCTTTTGAAACATAGCTCCTTTGTAACAGACTGCCTACCTCGTCAGCCTAGAGAACCCAACCCGAAAATAACAGGTTTCATTTACAATCAAATAACATGTTTGGCTTGGTGCAAAATGACACACTGAGGATTTTCATTTTGGCAAGGAAAAAACCAGACAAATTATCTTTACAAATTGGCTCACAATGATTTTTGCCAACGCTTTTCTCATTTAAGATGTCAAACCAAACCTTACTTTTTTGTGCAACTTTTTTTGTGCAGCCTAATGTTGCAAGCCTAAAGATCAGAGCATAAACATTATAATTTAAAACTCTTTATGTTTTAAATGAATATGCACTCCTGCTGGTTTTTTTTTTTTTTTGGGGGGGGGGTTGGTTTTTTTTGTTTGTTTGGTTTTTTTTGTTCTATGGTAGTTTCAATAGTCATCTTCAGAAATAAGGTGCTATATAACCCTGTATATAACCCTAGGAATTGCTTTCATTTGAACTCTCCTGAACTCTCTGATGTGAAAAAATGAACACAGTTTTTGGCCCTATACTCATGCCACCTCCAGCTCTGAAGAAATGTTATTTACATGCAAATATTTTGTGTATGCAATACCAGACAATAAAGGTTTGTTCACAAAATGAAAATTCTGACTTGCTCCACATATTCGGGCATTTCAGTAATATACTCCAGGTTCACAGTGTGTTCGTTGTTCCAGGAAAACAAAACTTTTGTTAATTCTGCAAAGAGCATAACAAATATTTGCTGTGAGCACCACGGGTAAAGGAATGTCTTGGAGACAGATTGCAGGGGTACAAAGCGAGCCACGGCACCTCCCTCCCGCAAGGGCTGTCTCTGATGTGGATTGCAGAACACGGGAGCTTTTTGGCCACCAGCACTGTGGGAGTGACAGTCTTGGAGCCCCAGACCTGGTGGACGGTCTGGTTTATAGCTTAGCCCTCCAAGGAGGTGTCATAATAAAGCACTGCCTTTAACTGTGGCTGGAAGATGCCAATGTTGCCAAGGATTTTCTGTGACCTAATGAAAAATGCATTTCATCAAGCTACATAATTGCAGCTGGCACATGGAGGAAACACGCCATGTATGCAGACACAACCTTTCATGGTGTTATGAAATAATATAGCCTGTAGCAAAAATTCATTTTACCAAGTTGTCAGTGATGCCTGATGATATTATTTTGCATGGAGAATTTGCAAAGGGGAACTGTGTTGGCTGATAACATTTAACCAGTAAGCTCAAGGATGCTCAGGGAATGGGTATCTTCTGGATTGTAGATAACATACCAGGAGAGCAGGGAAGCCAAAGGATTCGCCTCCCCCAGTGGCTTTGATCTGTTACAACCTGCTGAAGATACAACAGTCTTTGATGGCCCTTTTTAATCCTGTTCCAAGGATTAAAGGATTTTATTTTTCCAAGGATTTTAATCCTGTTCCAAGGATTTCCAATGCTCCCAAGCCACGCTGGTTTTGATGGCATCGGGGTCAGCTGGGGGCTCACGGGACAGATGCAGGTGTCCTGCCTTGGCGGTGGCTTTGCAGGTGTGTTGGGGATGGTGTGGAGGGTGGTGTGTAGTCTGTGCTGAGTTTTGCCTCTGACTGGCAGGGTTCATCAGGTCAGACATGGGTACGTAAATGCAACTAGATTACAGCCAGAGTCAGTCTGAGCTGGAAAGGGGTGCTAACAGAAGGTGGAGCTAAGTTAAGGGAAGTAATTGCTTCAGGACTCAAAAAAAAAAAAAAAAAACCAAACCCAAAAATAATAATAACAAGCCATAGGAAAGAAAGGGAGAAGAATACAATGACTTGAGGAGATTCTTCGCCCTGGTGGACCAAGGCTGCGTGGATATAAACCACCATACCAGTGTGCCTGCTCTGCACACCTGGACCTGGGATTGCAGGGGCAGGTGGTACAGAAACCCTTAAACTGGCTTATGCAAGAACCATTTTAGTCTGAGAGCAACAGTGTTGTCCCTCTTTTTTTCCCATTAGCTTTTTTATCCTATGTGCTTACTTTCATAGATAACCTAAATCCAGTTAATGTACTGTTGCTGCATCTTATTACAGATTACGTGTTTCTGCAGGCTTTGAGGTCTTGCTAAGTGGAAAGTTCAGTGTTCAAATAAAAAGACATTCTTCTCTTACCATTACTCATAAACCTGCCACTGGCCAGTAATGGGCAAAGTGATTCAAACAACATACTTCCACTTACAGTGCAGGCAAAGGTGGTTTGGTTTTTTTTGGTTTTTTTGTTTTTTTTTTTTCCCTACTTGACCACAGGATCCAGTATAAGAAAATGGGAGGGGAATAACTGGGTTTAAGAAATCAGGTAAGAGGTGGGGCTCTGAGTCAGTTTATAAAATAGTTGCTCACCTGCATAGGAGACATTTAACCTATTAGCTTCTGTGGAACCTGGAGATGTGAAATTGCATTGCTACAGATAAGACGGGATGTGTACGTGACAGTGACCACAATGGAGCAAGATGACATTTTGTCTCAGGTAAGGAGGGTGGAGAGCTAAGCGAGGCGTCTGGGCTCTCAGCTGGTTCTGCTGCACACAGCGCAAGGGTGATACCGGTGTCTTAACCTACCATTGACTATAAATTATTCTGTGCATGATGAAGAAAGTCAGCGCTTCAAGAACTTATTAATGAATTTTTTTAAATTATAGCAAACCATAGGAAGGAAGCAAAAACTACTTGCAGAGTAGCAGTTTCTTTAAAAAGGAAGCATTTTGTGTATTTGGGGGTTTTCTTCATTTTAGAAATGTGACATATGCAACCTTAGAATAAGTATTAAATAGCATGGAGATGTACTTCAAGGTGAAAGACTAATGACAGGGTGTGTTTGTGAGGGACGGGTTTGCTGTTTCTTTAACAGCCAGGCCCCGGGGTGACTTCCCTCCCCATGTGTCACGCAGAGGGTGGACCTTACCTGGCTGCTACACCTCTGCTCGGGTGCAGGCAGTGGCACCGGGCACAGCGGGGAACACCTGGACCTGCCGAGACTCTACAGCCAGCACTGGCCATGGGCTCCCCGTTGCTGCTGCTCTGCAGTTCTCAGCTCCCAGTGAGGATCACTTTGAAAAGACGGGATGGTTTTTCCAGGGGTGACGCTGGTCCTTCTTGTTGCAGGAGCTGATGACTCAAACTGCTCGGTTAGGAGAAGGAATTATGCAGCTAAATCTTGATGGGGAACAGCGGACTCCTGTTACAAAGGTACTGCAAAGGAGAATTTTAAAAGAAAACTGTAAAAGAGACTGTTCCTCTGGGTGGAGCTGGGGTGACAGCAGATAGGGTTCAGCATCTGCCAAACAGTGTAATTAGCTACCGTAACCCATCCAGCTCCCCCAGTGAAACCCTGTCCTTCCTATCATTTTGATCACTTCTCTTATGCAGTCTTGCTTCATGTAAAGTCCTAGTGCTGTTTTCTATCTTTGGCACATGGGAAGTGAAGCCTCTTCTAATGAGACTGATATATTTAAAAGGATGGGTTTGCATAGGCTTTCTGTTACATATGCTAAAGCACAAGGGCAAAA